GCTTTGAGGTGTGAGGATAGGCCTTGTTATTGGACAACAGATAAACAGGGTTGTAGTTGTATGGGGACTTGTCTGCCGCAAAGACTACGATTTTTAAAAACAGGACGACGACAAAATGGAAAAAAAACCAAACTCAGTGTCACGTCACCATTTACCACATTTTAAAGACCCCTCCCTCCAACAGTGTTGAATGATTGTAGGTGTTGCTGTTCTTATCAAAGATTTGAAATTGTTTTCACTAAGATGGCTTTTCTTTACATTTTTTTAAAACGTCAATCTGGTTCCCGCTCTTTACACAGACTGCTCAGGTCGAGGTCACTGATGACTCAATGCTCGCAGCCGACACAGGCCTGTATTCTATTTTAAATCTCCTCGGCCTTAGCTGGGCCTTCGATACAGTGGACCATAATGTCTTGGACAGGCGTCTGAAGAATGTTATTGGTTTCAGGGTTGCTTTGGATTGGTTCATCTCTTATCTGTCTTGTTGGTCCTTCTCAATAATTCTTGAAAATGCTTTCTCCTCTTACCTGGGGTTCCCCAGTGGTCTACTTTGGGTTCCCTCCTGCTCACATTGTACAAGTGATCCCTGGGCTAAATATCACATATTATGTCATGCCTTGCTGAAGTTAATATCTAAATGTCCCAGGTTTCCTGTGTTTGAATAACCCTGAATCAGAATGTAATTGATTATAATTTGCTTTTCCGGCCCCTCAGCTGTGGAAGTTCTTTCATGGAGCTCTTCGTCATGTATCAGTATCTTCTACTAAAATATCTTTATGAGACTCACTTTTATCTTATGGCTTTAAACTACTGGCATTTGTTGCAGCTAGTTGAAATATTATAGTTTTATATTTCATATAATTCTCTAAAACTATTCATCATACTCTTTAGAATTTGGCAGATTTAACCAAATCCAAATGAAACTGATGACAATGTTGCTTATGTGCATGTGTGTGTGCGGTTCTAATGATGTCTACAACAAACGGTGAGTGTATAAAGTGTAGTTGAGCAGCAGAGCTGTGTTCTGACAGATCAGATTGAGTGCTCCTTCACCTCCCTCCTCTCTTCCATGAACCCTCCACCCCCAAAGTCCCCAACCACCCTTCCATCCAGCAGGCCACATTTTTCACAGACCAGCTGTCCTGCAGCCATGATTGGTTGGCCTGGCAGACAGATAGCCGATAGGTTCTGATTAATAGTTGAGGCTCAAGAACTTCCCCATTGATCAACAGGACAGGCTGCAGGAGGAGGAGGAGGAGGAATGGTGGAGAGAGAAAAAGCATGCCCTGTCGCTCTGCAAATGCTGGCTGATAACCCTGATAGTGGTAGTGTTTGTGGGTCTGTGTGAGTGTCTATTTGAGGATGTGCTTGTTTTCAAAGGCAAAGACTTGAGGAGTTGGATGAAATGGAAGCACTCTGGTGAGAGATTGCCTCAGCTTAATTTACTCTCCTTCCATTTGTCCAACTCTCTCTCTCTGTGCCGAAGTCTTTGATAGCATCAAGGGAGATTACCATGAATAAGAAAGCATGTATTTTATCAAACAAAATACACAAGCTTATTTAGCCAACAGTAAATGTCTGTGAGGCGTTTAAGCATGAAAGTGTGTGTGTGTGTGTGTGTGTGTGTGTTTGTGTGTGTGTGTGTGTGTGTGTGTGTGTGTAGTCAGGAGTCTTTGGGTTAGGGTGTCATCCGCTATCCACAAGAGAAATGCTTTTTGATTGAACTTCAATGCATTTCATACCAAATTTATTTTTCCCAGGTGCATTTGCAGAGCTAATAGTGTTACAGTATCTTAGCGTGTTTGTGTGTGTGTGTGTGTGTGTGTGTGTGTGTGTGTGTGTGTGTTTGTCCCCTCCCGCTGCTCTGTCCAGCCTCTAGCTGATTGATGATCTCCCACTCCCACAGGGTCAGTGGGGTCATGACCTCCCACTTTTGACCCCCCCACTGGGAGGGTCACACACACACACACACACACACACACACACACACACACACAGAGAGAGAGAGAGAGGGAGAGAAAGAGAGAGAGAGAGCAGTCCATACAGAAACAGATGGCCTGAGGACAACTGGTGCTTCCACCACTTTTCTCTAACTCTTCATCTACTCTCACTGTTTCAAACACAACAATCAAACAGTTTCACATTCATAAATCACATTACATTTCTGTAATAACCCACAAACAAACGCTTCATAATGAAAAAATAGAGATATGTGCTAAATATTCACATTAAACATAGTTATTTGAGACCTTTTCTGTAGATCAACAGATCACAATCAAACTGTTCTGAGTTTGGATTTCTTTAGTTTTTTAGGGTCAAGAAATGACTTTGACAAAGTGTAACAATATCACACCCTAGTGGTATGTCAAGGTTACGACAAGAGTCAAATCCAATAAATAAATAAAAAAACTACAGCCAAGTCCTCTAAGATTATTATTATCAGTGATAAGAAATTATCAGGTTTACAATATGACCTAACCAGCCACCATGCTACACTATTCTCAATCTCCTGAGAGATGAGGAGAAGGGAAATTGATTTGTGATGTTTTTGAGCATTAGTTCAATCTAAACAATTTCATAGAGAGAATATAAAGGATTCCGATCTGGTACAGTTTGTCCTGGCACCAAAGTGGTCATGGGCGCAAAACATTTATATGACAAACAATTTGTCAATTAACACTCTGCATTGATAGAGTGGCCCCTATTCATAGGAATGTAAGACCTCTGCTGGTGTCGCTGATAAGAACTACATACTATACAGTGCAACAGTGACATCTGGTGGTTTTTGACTGTGCCTGACCAGTGAATGTTGTCGTAAGCCGTGTTTTTCAGACAGGACTTGGAGGTAAATTCCAGAGAATTAAATAGTTTTTTTTGCTTCTGTGACTTCTTCACCGTCCCTACTTCTTCACCTAACTATTTGTAAAGATCACTGATGTTGCTGTCAGCCAGGTTTTGCATCAGCTCGGTCTGAAGAAGACAAAATAGTTTTTTTTCCATTCAGAAGCATATAGTCTATACATAAAGAGAATCAAGTTTCATCTGGACTGGCAGCACGGTGATGCAGTGGGTTGCCTCACAACAAGAAAGTCCCTGATTCCTGTACTGGTTCAGCTGGTGTCATCTTTGTATAGTTTGCATGATTTCCCTGTGTCTGTGTCTGGTTCCCTCCAACAGTCTAAAGACATGCAGATTGGGGTTAGGTTAACTGGAGACACTAAGTTGACCATAGGTGTAAATGTAAGAAGCTTGTCCAATGTCAGCTGGGATTGGCTTCAGCTCCCCCCTCTAAAGGATTAATGGTGATATAGATAATAGATGGATGAATGTGATAAGGATGTAGGGGTTCCTCTAAAAAAGGTTGAAAACAGCCTTAACTGCTGATTTGATCATTATCATGTAGCAGCATCACAGTCAGGGTCTCACTTACTACAGGGATAAATATGTTACCCATTGTTCAAGGTCAAAAGGGAACAGCAGCTAAAATTGATACTGGTGGTGAGACACAAGAGAAAGAACTGCCTGCCTTGCAGACTGATCTAAAACAATGGCACATTTGGCTGCTTATGAGAGACTGACCGCTCTCTACTGAGCAGTGTTGATCAATACATGGTTACCTGGGGCCAGCTGGCTATCTGTGACTATCTGTACATCTGTGACTTAGTGGTCAATTTAGTATTTTAGTGCTGTCAACAGACTGTAGTGCTTATCCTTGGATTTTGATCTAGATATTATTTAATTATATATGTGAGTGAATATTTACTTTCATTATAAAACAAGTGTTTTTTTCAATATGGGACCAAACATGCATCTGAACAGGACTTTGACCAACAAATAGACCGTTAAGCCTTACAACCATTGACATGTTCCCCTGAGCATCTCATAAAAACCAAGCTGTCAACTGATCATCAGGGCCCTTGGCGACGAACAGCAGTTTAAGTCCATGGCCACCTGGCATCAAGGTTACTTCCACAGCAGCGAAGGCTTTCCGCAAAACAAGCAGTCAATGCATGGAGAGGATGAGTGTGAGTCTCAGACTGGAATTGTGATGCACAAGTGCACAGACTGCTTCACTCATGAGAGGGAGCTTTCCACCCCTTCCTCTAGCACTCAGCTACCAGGTCAGCGTACCTTGTTTCCTCTCTAATAATTAGCAAAATACCTAATAAAATAGCAAATACCTGAGATATTTAGTCCAATTTACCAACTCAACCATAACCATTTCTTTTTTCGCCTGTGTACTCAAATTACGAAAAGATCAAAGCACATAGTTGTATCATCATACAGCATACTTTGATCAAAAGGAACATGCAAAAATTTGCAAGGCATCAATGGAGGACTTCACTTCAATTCACTTCGGAGAATAGTAAGAGGGCAGTTCCTTGCCCATACAAAAGCTATAGAGAATATTAAAATGGATCCCCACATTGTGTGTGTGAGTGAGATGTCTCCCTCAGTGCTGGGAGATAGTGGATGTCAGGCCTTTAAGGAGAGCTGCAGTATAACTTCCATGAAAACAACACACGCATTGGAAGAGGACAAGTTGATGATGTCTTCCAAGTTGGAAAATGAACCAATCACATACCAGATATCAAATTTGAATTCTTTGCAAGAAAAGGAGCGTTGTTCCAAATGTTGCTTTCCCTGGAACATCTTTTCAAAGGGAAGGTCTAAAAAGAAGAAGCCCAAACAAATAAGAACTCCTTGGTGGCTGTGGATTTTCTGTATTAGTTTGCCTTTGGAATGCGAGTGTGGGTCAGACTGTCCCTGCGATAGCACCAGTGGCTGCAACTGTGACTGCCACCACAAATACGAAATGCAGCAGAGCTTAAACACTGCCAGGTGCCATCATCTATAATATAACTGTAGCAGTAGCCCTGCCCCCCTTTTTATTTCTCTCTCCCACGTGTGGTTTTTTCTCTGTCTCGCTCTCATTCTGGAACTATTCTCCTAAAAAGTTTTGGGGTCCTGGATCAAATAAAGCATTAATGGATACTACATCTTTTCACTACTTTATTCACAGACATATTTCCTTAACAGACAAAATATACAGATCAGAGTTGGTTTTGTTTAACTAACATATATTATAAGCTCCCTTTCAGTAGCGTTGACTTTAGTCCAGTCTCTGACTCTGGTCTAAGGCTTTAAACGTTGGTTTACAAAACATTTTAACAGTTTTTCTCTAATAGATTAACACATGCAAGGAAAAACAAAGACATTAGTAGTAAAATTATTCACTACTGCAATGATAAGGAGCTTTTGAAGTGCAAAACAAAAAGCACAATCAGTGAAAAGCTAATGATAAATGAGAGCAAAAGATAAATAATGGTCTTTAGCAGTTTCAATTCAAATTCAGTGATAGATTCAGTGATAGATTATAAAAGTGAATTCAGCCTAATGCCCAGTGCAACTCTACTACTACTGATGCTTTGAAGGAAGAAGAGAAAAAAGAAAGAAAGGAAGCAACAGGCATGAGAATTAAGATGCAAGCAAGCAACTAGTCATCAGCAGTTTCATGTTTACATGACTGAGAACAGGAAAGAAAAGATTCAAATCTATGGAAAATGTTTGCTCAGGAAAGCATGGATACATGCTTTGTGTAGATGTTAGCGCAACTAAGACACAAATTAACCTCCAGAGCTGGAGCAAAACAAAAAAACAGTCACCTCCCCCCACGACAGTAACCATCATAGAAATCCCAGAGGAGCAAGAGGAGAGATCTTGAAATCATGAGTCATGATTGGCTTAAGGACTTTGCTACATGGAAAATCCTGTGATAGAACCATCAATTAAGTATTGCATCACACTTCAGGGTAAATATTACCTATGTGAAATTTAAAAAAACAACATGATAGGCTGTGAAATCAAAAGAAAAATCTTTAAATAAGAAATACAAAAGAAAGTAAGAAGGAAATACGAGTAAAGTGCAACTCAGACATGATCTGATCCACGGGAGAGTGCTACAGTGGCTGCGGTAGTGACTGGAGATGTGCCTTTAGGTGGGTGGGGGGGGTATGACATGGATAAACCGTTGTGTTTACGCTTCATCGCAGATAACAGTCTCCACCACAAATGTATTCTCAAAGTGACGGATGTGGTGGCAATCCTTCGCCTCACGCTTGTTGATGCCTGTGAGGGAAACAGGGTGAGACACAGGAAGCGCATCAGCAATCTCACTTTTGTGCATGCTGAGCTTCAGATATGATCACAACACTTTAACAAAACAATGCTTATTTTCTAAATACTTCTAATACTCCATTAGCTTCAACTTACGTCTGCGCGTGACACGACGGTTCAGGCGGTATGTGTCCTTCCCGTTGCACAGGCGGTAAATGAAAGGTCCCAGCTGACGCATGTTATGCACTTTGCCAGTCACCACCATGTCCTCATGGATGATGTAGGTCTGAGGCAAGTATGTTCCCTTCTGTAAGAGATAGCATCATCATCATAACAAGCTAGCTGAGGTATTATCTTCCAATGCTTAAGGGCTGCATGGTCGAAAAATCACTGGGTGTTTACAGTCTGATCACACCAGCACTGAAACCAGCATCATCCTGCAGGAGAGGGATATTGCAGTGATCAGTGAATTGGTTCTTGGGATTTAAGTTAATGTAAATTTGAAACTTGAGGCAGGACTTTGCACCACTGAGCAACAGCAGTGCTGACATTTGAGGGAATAGAGGACCAGAGAGTCCAGAAAGGGAAAAGATATTTTACAGTAGCTTTTTAGTCCACTTTTATTGAATCCCCTCTGCTGGACTACAAACCGCTTCCCAATAGATATGTGGTTTACAAAGTTTAGAGACTGGAATCAATGGTATATTTGTGTGACTTAGTGGGACTAACTAGAATTATCCTCTTCCAGGCTTGCTAGCACATTAGCCATTAGCTCAGGAACTAGCTCTGCAATAGTCACTAGCTGTGACCCAGTTAAGGGGCCACATCATTTGGAGGAGTCCAAGGATTTTCTATTCACCAGCACATGCTGAATCCTAGGACAGGTTTGCCCAGGAGGGATCCACCCACTGGGACCACTTGTTGCTCAGGAATGGTAAGACACTGGCTGCATTTGAAGAAGCCTTAGCAATAAGACAGCCTAGTCATGTTGCTGTTGCACTATATGTCCAAATGCAGCCTCTGAAGGATGCAACCCCTGAATTGGGACAACCCTAATATGTCACAAAGACTCCAGCACCAACTATTTGTAAAGATCACTGAGCAAATGCAGTGACGAAATCTTCACTTATGCTTTTTTTTCATTTTTGTGTGGGTTTGTTTTGTGTCTGTACGTTTTTGACATTCATGCTGGCAGCAATGGCGACTTCTCATTCAAATTCAAGAAAACATGGTGCTCATTAAGACAATAACATTGCAGTTGTTACCTTGACATTAATGAGAAGCTCCCAAAGGTTGCGTGGAGGCATCACGATGGTGGTGTTGAGCTCAATTACATAGCACTTGTCCAGAGCAATGTCATGGTAGGCGGTCAGTCCCTAGAAAATAAGGCAATTCATTAAAACTCTAAAGAAAAGAAAAAAGCTGAACATTTTCACTAATGTTTGAATTCCTGTGTTATCTGCTGCATCTGTGGAATTTTAATAATATTAGCCATGCTAGCTGTGGGTCATTGAGGACAGTTAGAGGTCAGTTAGATGGCCTGCAAAGTGCAAACCATTCAGTTCTGGACAGAAATATTTACTCGATTGCCATTAAGATGAGGATGAATCCTATTGACTCTAGTGATCTAATGACTTTTCCTCTAGCCATTCATCCAAACTAAGGGAAGAAGTAGAGTCTCAAAGAGTCTTTATGGCTGCAGACATGTTTTATTCAATTGTTCTTTTCATATTGTACTGTACTCCTCCCAGTTCAAATTGGATATATCAAATGTGTGTGTGTGTATGTGTGTGTGTGTGTGTGTGTGTGTGTGTGTGTGTGTGTGTGTGTGTGTGTGTGTGTGTGTGTGTGTGTGGGTGTGTGTGTGGGTGTGTGTGTGGGTGTGGGTGTGTGTCCTCACTCTGTGGAAGTCGTGGATTATGTCAGCAGGGTCACTGCCTCCAAAGTGAGGCACGGGCACAGTGATCTTCTCATAGTTGTCGGCCAAGTAGATGCCGACATTTTCCTCCAGCTCCTGACGCCCACGCAGCGGGGCGTACACTGAGTCTTCATACAGCACCCGGCAGTGGAACAGGTTCTCCTCAGGGATCTGGATCTCACACACACACACACACACAAACTAGCAGTTAGAAACAACACACCAGCTGGAACATTTGGGAACAAGTCTGAAGCAACAACATAACAATTAAGAACATAATTGAATTGCAGTATGAGACAAACAAAGTCTTACATGAGGTATAAAGTAGTAGCGATAGACATAAATTGAGGCAAGGACCAGACCGGCCATGAACACAACCAGGCCGAACGTCAGGCAGCACAGGCCGTTGAGGAGAGACTTCTTGGGACGCAGCGGCAGGACCAGCTCTTCTTCATCCTGGAAAAACACACACACGCACAAACAATTTAAAGAGGACACAAAAAAGGATTTCGAGGCAGCTTCAATCCCTAATCTTCACTGTGACGAGCGGCTGAAAATGACCTGAATTGACTGTCTGTTAAAATAGAAGCTTGCATAAATAGCAATGTCTCATTTCAAGCAGGAAAGAGTAGCACTGATCCCGGCCCACGGAGCGCTTGATAATGAAAACTTGACTGAGACGATGATGAGTAATCTTCCCCCGACGCCTCCAGTCTAGCGGCCCATCTGCTGGAGCCACGCGCCAAACTGGTGTTGGCAGAGTGGCACGGGCACTACACATGGATAGTAGCTACTATGTAACTATAATGATCAAGAAGGAAGTCAGGAGCTTGTGGCAGGTTTCTATACTTAGCATGAGCTATTGAAGGGAAAAATATTAACAGGCCTTTTTCACAAAGGACATCTTGATAGAAGGAAAGACTCAAGTGTCCCTGAGAGTGCACTGATAATATATCTGTTCTGTTTGAGTTCAATTAATAACGTGATTTACTCATGTCAGTCTGCTGGGAGACAATCCAATTGTATGAATAGGAAATTACTCTTAAGAGGAACTTCAAAGTAAAATGACGACAATCCTGTTTGTAGAAAGAAATGACACAAAAAGCTTGAAAGCTGCGTTCTCTTTTGTTTAACAGTGTTTGCAGCATATTTCGGTATTTGCAGACTTACATGCTTCAGGCCCAGTGTGTTCTGGAGGCATTCGGAGAACAGAGGGCGCGTTAGGCACAAGGCGACAACTGTGAGAACACACACACAGTTCTGTGAGACTCGGTTCTTTGTGTTCTCCCTCCCCACTGAGACTGATAGAGGCTCTTTCACACCAGCTGAGTGCGTGCCACACCATGAGGCCTGCCCCTATCCTGTGCCGTGCATTTTGGACATTTGCAACATTCACTTTATTCACACAAACACACACGGCTAATGTCCTGTCTCATTATGGTGCAGCATCTTTGTGAATCAGGCATGTAGAGAAAAAAACATTAGGCTGGTATATTCTTCTTTACAAATAACCAATCTGCATAATGACAACTTATTCTTTTTGAAAATGCGCAAAATACTGCGACCCCTGTTAAATGCATTGTTCGTGTTCTTTTGATTGTGTTACTGCTATGTACTGGGATACCAGTCCTGGAAATAAAACAATCTATTCTCAGGTATTAGCATTTGAAAGATGTGATTTCTGCATACAGGAAGAAAACAACCACATTTACATTTTATTCCAAATGTTTTCTTATCTTTATTTCGATTGTAGGGCCCACACATCCCACACCCACACACTCTGACGAAGCTCCAGTCAAGTCAGCATACAGCCATGTAGCCTGTCTGTGCTGCTCAGTGCATTTTAGACAAACAGACCTCAAAGTCACAAACACAGTCACTGTAGCATTACCACTTTTTCAGCATTCACTACACAAACACACACGTTGCATTAGGGTGCAGCAGCATCTTCAGGGCATGTACATGATGAGGGCTGAGGCCAAACAGGGACAGCAAAGTTAAGGACTCCACTGCTCTGCTGGATTCAGAGCTGTAAAAAAAACAAAAAACAATCCTGCATGTGCTCCGAGCCACAAAACCCCATCTGCCATTTTGTCAGCTGGAGCTTGTGCATTTCCTGCAGCTACCTCTCAGTATTTTTTTTTAGAATGGAGCTGGGGAGCTGTTCATCTAAAGCCCGTTAGCAGCCATGTCACTTATAAAGCATGACACAACACAAAGCCTTTGTGTTGTTGCATTGCTGCTGTGCATGTTGCACACTGGGATACACTTGCACGAGTGACGCAGTGGAGGAGAGGCGTCACAGCAGAGACGTGTTGTGTTGTCCCGATGGATGCAGTGAAAACACAGATGCTCGTGCCCCTCGTGCGTGCAGGTGCAGCCCCGCATCACATTGCATAACTGTCACATCATGACGAGCACGGTGCGTGAGAGGATGCGTTCACTTACCATCGGATGAGGGATGAGGATTTCGGTCTTGTCGCCATCGTCCTTCTCCACTTTCTGTCCCGAGACAGACTGGAAGCTGATCTTCACCATGGCTTTGACTGTGTGTGTCTGTCTGTGTCTGTCTGTGTGTGTCTGTGCAGGTGTCTTCCCTCCTCCTCTATGTTCTCTGTATCCGGACACTTCTCTGAAACTCGTCCCCTCACCTCCTCGTCGGGCCTCCTTCTGTCTCCTCCTCTAAAGCGGAGCTGCTCCTCTGTCTGTTTTTCTCTTTATCCACCGGAAGTGACTTTCTTTTTTTCAATCTACCCTTAAAGGACCAGTGAGGGGATGAAGTCCACTGAAACAAATATTCTAAACGTGATCGATAACCATAAAAAACATGGCAGCCTGATAAACAGGAATCTAATATGGAACATACAGGACTCTAGTTTACACTAGACTCCACAAAAACTTTTCTTTTTCACAAAGGATTTGTGATAAAAACAAAGCAATAAGTTTATAAAAGATATATAAAAGAGAAAAACAAGACAGAAAACAAATGTATGGACCTAAAAGGCTGAAGCATTAGCTTGTAGCAACACTTCATACGCAGAAGAATTCAACCAGCAACCCTATTAGGTCCCACAATTAATTCCATCAAATTATTGTTTATCATCTTGATTTTCTTTTTAAACATAAAAAGTGAGCTACACATTTTTATTGTCATATTTAGTCAGGTATGTTTACCCCTTTAAAAAGCCTGTTTTGATTTATTTATTTGTCTTACATCTGCCTGTTCCCCTCAGTTCATATTCTTTAAATGATCTCGTACAGAGGTCATTTTACAACATGTTCTTAGCCTAAATGTCCGCTGTTATCCTCCAGGACATTTAGGCTAACACATGTAAATTGTGCCATTTCGTGTAGAATTTCAGTCGGGGTGACGGGCACTTGGATGACACCACAGGAGCAGTATTGAGGATTTTGTTTCCTGCTGTTTTTAAACATCTGAAGAAGTTTTCACCATTTACTTCAATTGTATTGGATTTGGCTGCCATGCTGTTTACCCCTAAGACTCATAGACTCAAACACTTCACCCATCCCTCCATTGGCACAGTGGTGAGTAGATAAGAGTGAATTTACATTCTGGGGTGAACCATCCCTTTAACTTTTATCGTTTTATTTATTTTTTAAATGCTACTCAATAACACCCCCACCATACACCAAGCTGATACACATAGCCAGATATTACCATTTGAAAGATGTGATTTCTGCATACAGGAAGAAAACCACCACGTTTGTATTTTATTCCAAATGTTTTTTTTCTTTATTTTGATTGTAGGGCCCAGGCCTTTGACACTTCTGAAAACACCCACACACTCTATGCTGAAACTCCAGTCAAAGTCAGCATACAGCCATGTAGCCGCAAGTTTAATTTGTCATTTCAATGTTGCTAAATATTTGGAAAAAAAAAACAATTCCAGTACAACGTCTTTAGTACAGCATCATGCACAGCCAGTGGAGGAACATGCATGTTCAATGTGCATCTGTGGGCTATCTGGGTGGAGCTGTTGTCTGCCTGCAGATGGTTTGTATTCTCCTAATCGGATGTATAAATATGAAAGGTTACATTGACCATGTCGTTCACTGCAGATGAACAAATCTGTGGTTTTACCAGTTTTGCTCAGCACCATGAGGACAATCCAACATGCCCAAAGTACTCTGCTACCCACAATGCTTTACATTCATTATTGTACTGGAATTATAAACCCTCCGAGGAGAAACAGCTCAAACATGAGGAGAAGGGAGAAAAAAAAAAAAAGAAGAATGTGCCAAGTTGCTAATTTCCAGATGATCTCACCCTTGAAGCGCACTCACTCTGGGGCCACACGATGCTCCCGGGCCACCAGCCGAGTGGTGAGAAAGAGCAGGGGGGGGTGGAAAGTTAATGAAATTGAGGAGGGGAAGCAAGGGGAACCCAGTCCACAATTCCAGTTAAGTGATGTTGATCGCTCAGCTCCTCACAAAGTGCACAAACACACAGGCTTTTATTTTTCAGTTAATGCTTAAACCCCTCCCTCCCCCCCTGCACTGCTCGCTCCCTCCCCTGCAGCAGTCGGAGAGACACTCAAAAGTGTAAAATAAAACAAGGATTAACAGATCCAGAGCTAATACCATGACATTCCTCCGCTGTACAAATTGTTAATATCCTATAGGTTAGCTAAATGTGAGCTGGCCCTTAAAGTTATGTACAAAGAAACCCACCAGCAACCATTTCAGCAGTAAGATGAAATGCAAAAACAATGTCACTTGTTTGTTGTTTCTATTATGGTTTAGAAAGTAATTTGATTACAATTAACCAAAAACACGATGTTTAAGGTAATATATATATAATATATATATTCATATGTCAAGGTTAAACAAAATCTACAAAGCAAAAAAAAGGCATATGTACATACTCACCATGTCCCGGAAAACAATAAAGAGACCCAACTCTCGGGTTTTGCCAAACCTTTCATCCCTCCCTCCTTTCCTCGTGTGCTTCAAGTGCTGTGTCGGGACAAAGCACACAGGAGGAGAATGGTTCTGGGTGATGGCATCTGAGAGCTTGTCCCCACAAAAATACGGTAAAATGAACCACTGTCGCTTTATTGGATGAAGGCATAGATGCAAACTGTGGCGGTTGCCGTGATGCGTGTGCATTTCCGAGTCTGTGGCACTGAACGTGGGAGTCAAACTGGGCAGGCCGTCACAGAGCCGACGCCGGGTACAGCCAGGGATCTGTCACATTTCAAGGCATGCACCAAAACACACCAATGTTCAACTTGCTCGTACCATTTCCATCTCAAGGTTTTCAGCCGATATTCTTGCAGTGTGTGTGTGTGTGTGTTTGTGTGTGTGTGTGTATATGCATTTAATGCATATATGTGCGTGTAAACTTCTATTTCTTTCCCTCTGTGTGTGTGTCTACCAGGAAATCTGTTTTAATTTAAATGCACGGACATTTTCTCTCACTAAGTCTGATGAACTGTTTTAATATACTTTATATGTCTCAATGTGCAAGAAAGCAGCAGCATCTATTATTTTCTCTAAATTCTTTTGAAGGAAAAAGACTGAAAAAAATACACAAATGCTCTCTGGCGAGCAGAGGAGCTGATGAGTTGATATGGATACGTTTGCATTTTGTTGGGTATTAACTTGTTTCCTCAGTTTTTGTTCAGAAACCAGTTGAGCAGCTGCTGACGGTTCCGTTAAGCAGACGTTGTCTGGGTGTTTTTCCAGACGTAGTCCTGGTGGCTCCTCCCCCAGCCACCTCTGCGCTCTCCTCAGGCCTCCTGGGGAGCAGGCCTCTTGAGGTCCCTGATCTGTTTGACCAAGTAAGTCTTTTCATCATTGAACTGTTCGTCCTCTGTTCTGTCGTTCTGGAACTTGCTGAGAAACTCAATGAGTTTGGTCTGGTTCTTCAGCAGGATGTCCAGGATGGGCTGTGTCTTGTTGGGGTTGGCCACAAACACCTGTTAGAGGAGGAAGCGGATGAAGATATAAATATATGAAGACAATGATTGACTGACTCTGAAAGTGTTTTTTTCCAAGACCAGTTTTCCTCTGAGCCCTTTGAAGATGAGTCACAGACATACACCTTAAAACCACGCTTTGTTCTTACCTTAAAAACATGAAATGCCTCAAACTGGATGTTGCGGCTTTTGTACCGAAGCAGATTCATCATTAGTTTGAGATTCTCGGGCTTGCTGATGTATTTCGTCATTATGGTGAAATTGTGCCGGTCGAGAAGCAGCTCCCCGAGTAACTAGATAGTTTCAAAGTAAGAGAAATCAATTATTATTCATTTATTGTCATCCAAACTTAAACATCACAGAATATACATTTAAATTAGACATAACTAGTAAGTTGAGGGATATTTCAATCTTGGGTAATAATTGATGGCTGTGGGGAATCCAGAAAATAGATTGTGGCTTCAGAGCTACAATACCCTTTAAACTAATATCAAATAATATCCACACTAAGTTGAAACAATGCAGTAAATGTTAAATAAAAATCACAAGGAAAGTGAAGAAAACACTCGATCATTTAGGTGGTTTAAAAGACATGTTAAACATTTAAAGGTCCACCACTAGATGGCGCTCATAACAAGAACATGAAACTAGAGAAACTCAACACTGACAAAACTTCATCTTTAATTAGCTGTGAGCAGAACGGCACTACGACATGAGACCTGTTTACTGGCATGAGTCACGATCCTTACCTTGAGGGACTGCCTTTTAGTCACGTAGTTTTCTGAGTGGAGTAACTTCTCATATTCACTAAAGAACTAGACACAGAGAGAGAAGACGGGGGAGCAGGAGATTGTCATCTACATGCACCAAATAGTGGTTTGAATTGAATCAGTGTCTTGTATCAACTCAATGGCACAGAAATTCAATTCAGTTTTTATTTTAGAAATTATCGGTTAAAATTTTTTGGGGAAACAATTATCTCAAACAGTGATTTACATAAAATAAAAAAATGAGCGTTAAACAACAGTCTTGTCAACATTTTAAAGTGTTAAGAATGATTGATTCATGTATTTTTGCTGTGATAAACAGCATTTGTTGTGCAACTGATTTTCCCAAAAAGACAGTTCTGTCTTTGATCTCACATTAAATAGAAGCTCTCAGTTCAGTGCAGACTTACTCTGTCATAATGTTTCTCCAGGAACTCTGCACTCAGTAGCTTGTGTCTTGTGAGGAGGTCCTGGAAACAGACAGTACAGACTGTTAGAGATAAAAAAAGATCTCAAATGTCTTATTTCTTAGACAACATACCAACGACTTACTCAAACCTCGCAGGCATCATCTTTAGAAATGGATTGCTATTTTAGTCAATGAAAGCCCCTGAATGCTTGTTCACAGTGAAATAAGTGTTTCTGCGAATTATCTTTTGAAATAAACAAGAAGACTGTGACTAAGAAGGGCTGACACAACTACTCAAGTTACTCAATAATTACAAAAAATCTTTTTGCATTGAAGTTTTGTTTTATTCATAGAAATATGTACTGTTCAGTGGTCCGTGTTTCACATTGAGGACCCGCTGTGAGCAGCCTCACTGTTGTGGTGCGCTTAAAATTGTGTTAGTGTCTCATGTTAATTATTAAAACTGTGGTGGCCTCAGTCCAATTTGTTTCATAATGATCTGGAGTTGTTTCACACTTTTCATCATAACATGTAAGGTCTTTAACTTTGTTTATTACTGTGGTTTGTTTTCATGTCTGAAGCTGCAGCA